CATCACACGGGTGGGTTTCTCATGAATGGTTTAGCACCATTGCCTTGGTGGTGTTCCCACAATAGTGAGTGAGTTCTCCTGAAATCTGGGGTTTAAAAGTGTGTGGCATCTCTTCACTCTCTCTTGCTCCTGCTCCCACCAGGAGAGACACCTGTTTCCCCTTTGCCTTCTGCCATGATTGTATTTCCTGAAGCTTCCCCACAAGCCAAGCAGATGCCAGAATCATACTTCCTCTACAGCCTGTGGAACCGTGAACCAATTAAACCTCTTTTTAAAATAAATCATCCAGTCTCAGGTATTTGTTTATAGCAGTGCGAGAACAGACTCATACAACACCCTACTGCTTGAGTCATAGAAGGCAAAAGAGCAAGGGTGGATGGAAAACAAGGAAGGCAAATAAAAGCAAGGCGAGATCCTGTTCTCAGGGAATAAATTCAAGAAAAGGGAGCACACTTAGCATTCATTCAACAAACATTTATGGAACACATGCTATGTGCAGTGCTCATAATACACCAAGCTTCACTGAGCTCACAGAATTAAAATAAAACGAGAAATCAAAAGCATAGTGACCTGTTCTATATTTCCACTCACGCGGTTAGCCACGACACATGTCCTGACCCAGGAAACAGTTAATGAGTGTGAGAGCGGCCTTCAATGATGTCATGTGCCTGGAAGCCACCCTGTTCTGGAAGCACCATCGCTCCGTTCCCGGGTCGCTGCGTGCCTGTGCTCTTCCTCCATGCTTTATTTATAACCCCTTTGCCTTTGCCTCTACCACTGCCATCATTTTTCGCGGCTTTTCTTTATTCCTCCAAACTTCCCCTAACATGTATTTGCCCTTAGCTCCAGGGCCCTTCTGAAGTTTTGCAAAAATGTTCTCTTTTATTATTCACTTGCCAACACAAGCATTAGTAAAAAGGAGGAGAAAAAAGAAAGAAAAGTGTCCTATTTTTAAAGTTTGAATTGTGAAAGTTGTCTAAGATTAGAAGAACAAAATCTTCATTGATTTTATAATACTATAAGGAGATACTTTTCACCCATAATCTAGCTCTTTCAGTTTATCGTCATGTTAATTTCCATGTTCCCTTTCAACATTTCCCCATGAATCTAGTCTGGATTGTGATATATAATAACCAAGAGGTATATACAATATTATTTTTCATGGTTCTTCAAAGTTATTTCAGAAACACTACTTTTATATAGACTTGATATTTATGAATAGCTATTGTACTTTATGCTGCTGTCCCATGTTTAGCTGTAGCTTATTTCCTCTTGTTAATAACTTCCTCACGATAACTTCCCAGAGCCAGAATGCTAAGTCCAAAGCTAAGACTGTTCTATTGCTCTCATTGTGTACTGCTACCTGCCTTTCCAAACTGGTAGCATCCTACTGCCACTGGGGATGACGTTGCCAAGAGATCCACTGGAAAATTCGCTGGTCATGGATATGAATGTCTAGTGGCAATGGTCCAATGGCAGCACCCCCCAAACTCCAGTTCCTCCAGAGGACAACTCATCAGAATTAGTAATCTCCTCCAGTCTGCTGAGAGTTCAATGCCTCAGGAATAATAATAAATGTCCCCCATTCTTTCCCTATCTGTTCTTCTCACCCCAGTGGCCCCTGCTCAGAGTCAGCCACCCATGCTGTGGGCAGGGTTGGTTTCCACCCTGAGCAGAAAGCCAGGACTCCTGGCCACCAGGAGAGCTGGTTCAGGGCCGGCCTATTTCTACAGCTGCTTTCCAGTAACTGACACAGATCCTTGTTGGCAGAGCCATCGTCATTGCCTGGGGCCCATCCTCTGGCCTCAGGTCCTGCTGCCTCCAGCCAGGTGATCCATGTGGAAATCCTTCTCACTGATACCCATGAACTCACCACCTCTCGCCTGCCTGCCTGGCTGGACTCTAAACCTGATACATTTCATGGCTGCAAATGATCTATGTTGACTTTTCTTCTTGAGGGTTTGGCAGGGGCTAATGTCACATTCCTCTCTTCTGTAGGTGACCTTCCTGCATGGGGCTTCCGGGGGTTGGTGACCCATGCCCTGCAGCACAGAGGCCACTTTACCATCACTGGGGCCCCAACCACACTGTCACCACACTAGGTGCACTGAGTGTCTTCCATTTGTCCCACCCATCCACTCTCCATGCTCTCCTCCCCATTGTGCCTCAGAAGGCCAGCTGTATAAGCAACTGCTGCAGACTTCCTGCCCTCGGCTTCCGGCTGCGCTCAGCCAATGGGGAGCCCCAGCAGGAGATCAGAGGGTGAGAGGGGAGGAAGGTCCTCTGAGTATTGACTCCTCACTCCCTCACTGCCTGGCTGGCCCTTCAATGAAAGATCAGAGTCCCAGGCAAACAGTCTTTGCTGGGCTCTACTAAATACTCCCTCCATTTCTCTTACAAGAATTCACCCACTGAAAGTTTACTATTATACAAACATCACCACAATAGAAGTTTAAAATATTTTCATCACTTTGGGAGGCTGAGGTGGGCAAACTGCCCGAGCTCAGGAGTTACAGACGAGCCTGGGCAACACGGTGAAGCCCTGTCTCTACTAAAAATACAAAAAATTAGCCAGGCGTGGTGGTGCATGCCTGTAATCCCAGCTACTTGGGAGGCTGAGCCACGAGAATCACTTGAACCTGAGAGGTGGAGGGTGCAGTGAGCTGAGATCATGCCACTGCACTCCAGCCTGGGCAACAGAGTGAGACTGTAAAATAATAATAATATTTTCACTACGCCAAAAAGAAACGCCAGATACATTAGCAGTAATTTCCTATTTCCCCCGAACATCCCAGTCCATGGCAACCACCAATCTGCTTCTCTCTATGGACTTGCTACTCTGGACACTTCATGTAAATAAAATAATACAATATGGGCTTTGTGCATCTGTCTTCTTTCACTTAATATATGTTTTCAAGATTTAACCATATTGCAGCATGTATCAGCACTGCATTCCTCATTATGGGTGAATAATATTTTGTTGTATGGATATACCACATTTTACTTAGTCATTCGCCAGTTGATGAACATTTGGGTTTTTCTTCTTTTTGGCTATTACGAATTAAGCTTGCTATGAACATTCACTTACAAGTATTTGTGGGGATATACGTTTTCCTTTCTCTTGGAATGAAAGTGGAACATACCTATATAATATACCTACGAGTGGACTGCTACATCATATGGCAACTCTGAAAACTTTTGAGGAGTTACCAGACGATTTTCCAAAGCAGCACCATGGTATAGTCCTTCAGCAGGACATAAGGGCTCTCGTTTCTCCAAATCCTCACCAACACTTGCTGCTGTCTTTTTATTATAACCACCCAAGTAGGTATGAAGTGCTATCACACTGTGGTTTTGATTTGCATTTGCCTGATGACTAATGACGTAAACCATCTTTTCATGTGTGTTTGGACATCTGTCTTCTTTGGAGAGACGTCTGAGCAAATCCTTACTCCATCTTAACATCAGGTTATTTGCCTTTTTATTTTTGAGTTTCAAGAGTTATCAATATATTTTAATTTTTAAATTCAGGTCTTTTATCTGGCATGTGACTTGTAAAAATATTCTTCCATTCTTGGTTCTTTCCACTTTTTGATGGTGTCTTTTGAAGAACAAAAGTTTTTAAGTTTGATAATGTCCAATTCATCGATTTTTTTCTTTTGTTCCTTGTGCTTTCAGTGTCATATCTAAGAAATCAGTGCTTAATGCCTAGACATAAAGATTTATCCTATTTTTTTCTAAGACTATTATAGTCTTAACTCTTACAGTTAGGTCTTAGATCTATTTTGAGTTAATTTTTGTAGGTAGTGTGAGATAGAGGTCCAACTTCATTTTTTTGCATGTGGATATACAGTCATTCAACCACCATTTGTTGAGAAGACTGTTCTTTCCCCCACTGAATGGTCTTGATACCCTGGTTGAAAATCAATTATCAATGCAAGGGCTTATTTCTGGATCCTCAATTCTATTCCATTGATCTTTATGTCGATTCTTATTATCCATTTACTGAAATGTCTATCCAATGTTTATTATTGTAGCTTAACAGTGGGTTTTGATATCAGAAAGTATGAGTCCTCATAGTTCTTTGTTTTCAAGATTGTTTGGGGGTATTCTGTGTTCCTTAAGTTTTTATATGAATTTTAGGATGAGCTCGTCAATTTTAGCATTGCAATCATATATATATATATATATATATAAAGTCTTCCACTCCATGAACAAGGGATGTCTTCCATTTACCTAGGTCTTTAATTTCCTTCAACAATGTTGAGCAGTTTTCAGAGTTTAAGTTTTACACTTCTTCATATTTATTTCTAACTATTTTATTCTTTTTCATACTATTACAGGTGATATGGTTTGGCTGTGTCCCCACCCAAATCTCATCTTGATTTGTAGTTCCCATAATCCCCATGTGTCATGGGAGGGACTTGGTGGGAGCTGACTGAATCATGGGGGCGGTTACCTCCATGCTGTTCTTGTGATGGTGAGTGAGTTCTCAAGGTATCTGATGGTTTTTATTTTGCTGTTGTTGTTTTGTTTGTTTGTTTGTTGAGACAGAGTCTCACTCTGTCACCCAGGCTGGAGGGCAGTGGCATGACCTCAGTTCAGTGCAACCTCCGTCTCCCAGGTTCAAGCGATTCTGGTGCCTCAGCCTCCCAAGTAGCTGGGACTACAGGTACATGCCACCACGCCCAGCTAATTTTTTTGTATTTTTAGTAGAGACAGGTGTTTCGCCATGTTGGTCAGGCTGTTCTCGAACTCCTGACCTCAGGTGATCCACCTGCCTCGGCCTCTCAAAGTGCTGGGATTACAGGCGTGAGCCACCATGCCCAGCCATCTGATGGGTTTTATAAGGCAGTTTTCCCTGCTCTTGCTAGCTATCTCTTTCCTGCTGCCGTGTGAAGGTCTGTGCTTCCTTTCACCTTCTGCCATGATTGTAAGTTTCCCGAGGCCTCCCCAGATATGCGGAACTGAGTCAATTAAATCTCTTTCCTTCACAAATTACCCAGTCTTGGGCAGTTCTTTATATTAATAGTAGCATGAGAATGGACTAATACAACAGGTGAAACTGTTTTCTTAATTTCACATTTAGTTTATTCATTGCTAATGTACAGAAATAAAATTGATATTTGCATGTTGATTTTGTATCCTGCAACCTCGCTGGACCCAATACTATGTCAATCAAGGTAAATGACCAAGACAAGTCTCAATCATTTTAAGGAGGTTTATTTGCCAAAGTTAAGGATGTGCCTGAGAGACAGGTCTATGCCTTTCTCGAGAGATGATCTTTGAGAGCTTCAATGTTTAAGGGGGAAACGGTGGGATATTGAGAAATGCACAATTTTCATGTAAAAGAGGGTTAGAGGAAAAGAGTCATTCATGTCTTTGGCTCTGTGAATATACGTTTTTACTTAAGATAACGTAGATGGTAGGGCAGAGGAAAAAATTAGATATGAATTTGTCTCAGGTGGGCAGAGGGATAGCTTTGAGTTCTGTCCTATGTCCTCGCACCTGTGAAGATAAGCTGTTAATTTACATTGCCATGGTGAACTTTAACAGAAACGCTTTAGGGTAAAGATCTTGCACCCACAGAGGAGGTGTGTAGCTTTTCATGTGTGTAGCCATCTTATTTAGGAAATAAAATGGGAGGCAGGCTTGCATGACCCACTTTCCGGCTTGACTTTTCCCTTTGGCTTAGTAAGTTTGGGATCCAAAGATTTATTTTCCTTTCACAATTAGCTCTACCTGTTTTTTGGTTTGTTTTTGTTTTTTGGTGGATTTCTTATATACAAGATCATGTCATCTTTAATAGATAGAGCTTTACTACTTCCTTTCCAATCTGGACGCTTTTCATTGATTTTTCTTCTCTAATCTCCCTGGCTAGAACCTGTAGTACATTGTTGAACTGTAGATTGTAGAATCTGTAGTACGTTGTTGAACTGTAGATTGTAGAACCTGTAGTACACTGTTGAACTGTAGATTGTAGAACCTGTAGTACATTGTTGAACTGTAGATTGTAGAACCTGTAGTACGTTGTTGAACTGTGGGTGCTTTAGAACCTGTAGTACGTTGGGCCCGAACTATGGGTGTAGAACCTGTAGTATACACTGTTGAACTGCTGGGTGGAACCTGTAGTACACTGTTGAACTGTAGATTGTAGAACCTGTAGTACGTTGTTGAATAAAAATGGCAAAAGCAGACTTTCTTGTCTTCTTCCTGATCATAGAGAAAAGCCATCAGTCTTTGACCATTAAATGTAATGTTAACTGCAGTTTTTACATAAGTGCCTTTTATCCGTTTGAAGACATTCCCTTTTCTTCCTAGTTCGTTAAGCGTTTTTATTACTAAAAAAAAAGTTGGATTTTGTTTTATAAATGTATTCTGCATCTACTGAGATGAACGTGTGTTTTGATCCATTATATTCTGTTGATACGGCTCATTACACTGCTTGATTTTTGGATGCCATGGTCATTACTCTGGCACATGGCAGGAGTGGTAGCCTCTGGTCTTCTCAGCTTTTCTACTGTACACAGAATATATGTTTACCCTAGAAAGCAAGCTGGAGTGAAGGCAATTAGGACCCCTGCTTCTGGGCCTGTTATACCTAGTGTATAGTCTCCATCCATGAGTGGGAGCTTGGTGGAGGAAGGGAGCCTCCTGCCTCTTGGCCACACTTATCTGGAATTTGGCCTTAAACTTGGAGTTGGAGTGGATGAGAAATGCTTGCATCCTTTGCCTTCTTGTGAGACACCTTATCCCTTGTTTGAGAGAAGAAGGGAGAGTGAGCCCCATCTTCTTGACCACATCCACCCACAGTGGAGCTTCTATCAAGCTGAGCTAGGTATGGGTTGGGAAGGAGCAGGTTGCAGCTCAAATGCCACACACTCTCTCTGTTCTTACCAAGTTGTGATATATTTTATTGAATTGTTTTTTCATTTTTTATATACCTTTAAGATAATTTCCAGAAACTTTTAAGTTTTCTTAGAAACCATTTTCTCCAATGATGGCTGTTTTGGTGGGGAGTGTGTCCGCAGAAGTAGAACTCCCCTTCATGCACTTTTTAAACTCTAGGGGTGGTAATGATGTTACACTATTGTGAGCCCTGGGGTGCTATCCTTTGTAGTTTTCCAATATCTTTGTAAATAGCCATTTTATTAAATTTTCCTCAAATTGCCCAATCTGAGATATGGTTTGGCTCTGTGTCCCTACCCAAATCTCATCTTGAATTGTAATCCCCATGTATCAAGGGAGAGAGGTGACTGGATCATGAGGGCGGTTGCCCCCTGCTATTCTCCTATTCTCGTGATAGTGAGTTCTTATGAGATCTGACAGTTTTTTGTTTTTTTGTTTTTTTTTTGACGGAGTCTCACTCTGTCGCCCAGGCTGGAGTGCAGTGGCGCAATCTCGGCTCACAGCAACCTCCACCTCCCAGGTTCAAGTTATTCTCCTGCCTCAGCCTCCCAAGTAGCTGGGACTACAGGTGCCTGCCACCATGCCCAGCTAATTTTTCGTATTTTTAGTAGAGATGGGGTTTCATCGTGTTAGCCAGGATGGTCTCAATCTCCTGACCTCATGATCCGCCCATCTCAGCCTCCCAAAGTGCTGGGATTACAGGCGTGAGCCACCGCACCTGGCCAAGATCTGACAGTTTTATAAGTGTTTGAGAATTCCTCCTTTGCTCTTCTCTCACCTGCCTCCATGTAAGATGTACCTGATTCCCCTTCTGCCATGATTGTAAGTTTCCTGAGGCCTCCTCAGCCATGCAGAACTGTGAGTCAATCAAACATCTTTCCTGTATAAATGATCCACTCTTGGGTATTTCTTTATAACAGTATGAAAACAGATGAATACACTGAGCATTCCATGTTTCTTGCTGCAATCCTGACTGACACAATGGGAGTGTTCTGAGCACAGAGGTCACCAGGGCTCATCCTCCATTCTCCTCTCCTATGCTTTGTCCCACACTGGCTGACTTATCCACACCCTAGAGCTTCAAGAGCAGGTGCATGGGCCCAAGAGCCCCCAGAGGGGAGATGGGTCACTTGATAAACGCTTGCTGTGGTTTCTTCATGACATGAATCAGACAGATCATGTAGCCGTAGACCCAGCTATGGAAACTGTGATCCTGAAGCAAATGGGCAACCAGTGTGAAACTCGTGGCAGCACACCTGAGGCCCTGTGACATCACTTCTTCAGATAAATGACTCTATAGTCCCCAGGAGCAAATGCAGCAGAAAGCTTTGAAAGGGTAGAAAATAGGACCAAAAAAACATCAAATTTCAGAGTTTTGAGTTAGCCATTGTGCTAGTCCATTTTTGCATGACTATAAAGAAATACCTGAGACTGGGTAATTTATGGAGAAAACAGGTCTACTTGGGCTCATGACTCTGTTGGCTGTACAGGAGGCATAGTGCTAGCTTTTGCTTCTGGTGAAGCTTCAGTAAATTTCCAATTATGGTGGAAGGTGAAGGGGGAGCAGACATGTCACATGGCAAGACAGGGAACAAGACAGAGGAAGGAGATTTCGTGTTCTTTTAAACAACCAGATGTCATGTGAACTGCCAGAGTGAAAACTCACTCATCACCAAGTGGATGGCACTAAGCCATTCGTGAGAGATCCATCCCCATGATCCAATCACCTCCCACGAGGCCCCCCTCCAACACTGGGGATCACATTTCAACACGAGACTTGGAGGGGACAAACATCCCAACTGTATCAGCCATCCTGGCACAATTTCCAACCTCCTCCATCACTGTGCTTCTCCCAGAGAAGAGTTATGGAAAAAGGGTCCACCTGCACAAGGGGAAGACCAGGGGCAGTAACGGGTCTGAGACCCCCATCCTCCAGCTTTCGGAGTACATGCTTCCCTTCAGCATGCTGACCCCATCCCTCATTGCAAGAGCAGAGAGAAACGCAGTCCTTGCCACTACAGCGCCAGCATCTCCAGGAACAGAGGGTCCCTGTAGGTGCCTCTCATTGACTTTCTTGTTTCTTCCGAGTCTCGACCCCTCTTCTGAGTCACACCTCCGGAGATGACAGCCTTTTACGCCACATTGCCCTTTCCTGTACCCTTTCACTTCTCCCATTTACTATCAAAAGTCTGGGGGGAAAGGTGGCGCCAGCACAGTACAGTGACAACTTAAAACTGAATGTCAACCATCACAGCCCTGAAGACGCTTCAGTGCTTCACTGCCACTTGGAGTTCCCGGTGTCCAGACCAGGGTCTCACCTTAGACCCCAACTGCTCCCAGAGGCTCCTCTCTGCCCCGCAAGGACTCTCTTCCTACCCTTTCTGGCACCCAGGCTCCAACTCCCAAATTCCCATACTGGTCTTCTAAAGAACAGCTTGGTCCTTTAAGTGACACCCCATCTCCACCTCTAACCTGTGATATGTATCAAAAGCCTCACCGGGATTTTCTATTCAGCGAAGAGCCACCTTTGTAGGTTTCCACCTCTTACAGGCCCAAAGCACTTGCCAAAGCTTTCACATTATAGTTTTCCCTTTAAACGATCAAATTGCCAAGCAGGGTTTCTATTGCATATTTCTTTGCCCCAAAAGGGTTAGAGACCAGTATTACAAGCTTCAAAATTCTGCTCTTCATAGCTCTGTCAAATGATCTGACAATCATACTACCCTCAGTCCTTCCTTCCTTGCAGCCATGGATGAAACTCTGTTGCTTTATGCCTCCAAGATCTCTCTAGTTCTGCTAACTGCTTATGTGCCCTTCTATTTAATGTTGGCAGTTCCATGAGGAACACTGTAGTGTTTCTTTTTTTCTTTACATTCCATTCAGAGAATTACTAAACAATCATTTCCACACAGAGATGTTATGGATTACACAAAAATAATCAAAGATGGCTGTTTCTGTCTTGAAATGCTTAATAATTTTATCTGTAAACTTGTGGTTTGTAAGTGAGGTCCATTAAGACAATGAAGCATGAGCCAGGGAAACAGGCCTCTACATGTGGCCACTGATGTTCCACACAGCATTCACAATGCACCATGTACACTGAATTCCCTGTGGACCCCTGATGTTGCAAGGCCAGCAAGACTCAAAGTGAGCACAAGGTACTCGTGCTGTATCTACAACTGAGTGAGCTGGGTGCTGAGCCCTGAAAGGCCACACTTTTCCCCTTAGAGCCTAAACTTGTTTCGAAGGCAGAAAGAAGGCAATGATGTCTTAAGAAACATGAAGGAACCATATTGTGTTAGTCGGGGTTCTCTAGAGGGACAGAACTAATAGGATATATATCTATATCTATCTATCTATCAAGAGAAAGAGAGGAGTTTATTAAGTATTAACTCACATGATCACAAGGTCCCACAATAGTCTGTCTTCAAGCTGAGGAGCAAGGAGAGCCAGTCCGAGTCCCAAAACTGAAGAACTTGGAGTCCAATGTTCCAGGGCAGGAAGCATCCAGCACGGAAGAAAATGTAGGCTGGGAGGTTGGGAGGGTAGGCCAGTCACTCTTTTCGCATTTTTCTGCCTGCTTTATATTTCTAGCTGCGCTGGTATCTGATTAGATGGTGACCATCTAGATTAACAGTGGATCTGCCTTTCCCAGCCCACTGACTCAAATGTCGATCTCCTTTGGCAACACCCTCACGGACACACCCAGGATCAATACTTTGCATCCTACAATCCAATCAAGTTGATGCTCAGTATTAACCATCACACATATCATATCTTTTCTTATTCGTGCACTTCTTTATATTAAACACCTGATTATGCCAAAAGGCCAGTCCATAGTCCTTTTGCCTTTCAGTCCTTCCTTACTCATGAGTGAGTCCCAGGTCGAGAGTGGAGGTAGAATTCGTGCATATAAAGTGCGATGAAAACAGGTAAGTTCACTTTGTGCAGTGTGGTTCTGGTAAAAACAAAACACATACGCATGTATAAGCTATGAAGTACAAATTGTATCATTTCTGTGATTCCACATATGAGTTCAGTGCACTTATATTAGTATTTAAAACTGGCATTGCACAACGTAAAGATGAATGGTAAACTTCATGCTAACAATTTAAATCTAAATTTTTCTTGGAATGATATTAAATAACCCATAAAAACACTATGAAAAGAGAGAAACTGAGAGGAAAGAGAAAGTTTTATATTTTATGACCTTAAAGTCACTTTCCTTCTGTTTTTTGAACAAGGAAACTCTGCACTTTTCTCTGAGCCCCACAAATTATGCAGCCAGCCTTGCAGCAGGGAACAATCAAAGCCTCTTTCCTGGGGGTCTAGTGAGGGATGTAAAAAACAAATATGTTAATAAATAATACGCAATATATAACGTTCGCTAACAATCAGTGCTGTGAGACACTAAAACTGAAGAGGCCAGGATGGCTACAGCAAGCCGAGGGAGAGCTGAGAATTAGATGTAAATTCTGAGCGATGGGAAGGGCCCTGGATTTTAGGGCGTTGTGCATAATAGTAACCAGATCTGCTCTACGTTTCAGGAAAGAAAAAAAAATTCCCTCTGGCTGCGGTTCCGAGAATAGCCCGGAAAGAGGCAGGGGTCCCGGCTGGAGAAGCGTGGCTCCGGAGTTGGGGGGTGTGCGGGGCGAGCCCGGGCGGGGGACGCTACCCAACAAGCAGGTTTGGGGAGACTCGAACCTTACATTCCGAGTTTTTAAGCTTGTCTCCTCAAAGCGGGGAACTCACGAACGTTTCGTGAGCGCCTACGGTATGCAGGGCACGGAGCGGAGCCCTAGGGTCACCGACTTGACCAGGACAGCCGAGCAGCTGCAGGATCCGTCGTGTTCCCCAGCAATTTTAATATTTAAAAATGCGCTACTGTTGCTGTTGTTTTCTATATATTGGATGTCTTCGTGAAGAACCCTCAAAAGTGCAACGAACTCCTCCCTGCCAGGGGGCGGCCGTGCGCTCTGAGCACAGCTTCCAGCCAAGCCGGCCAGGTCCTCCAGGGCACCGAGAGAGCCGGCCAGAACGGCGGCGCCCTATCCCGGCCGCGGCAATGTCTGACGGCGCCCCGGAACTGACGATCTGGTACGCAGGGGCGCTCGGCGGCAACAGCGGCTTTAAACGTCATCGCGGGCGCGACGCCCGAGGGACGGTCTGGGGTTTGGCTGTCCGGAAGGTGCGGCGGCGAGACCGGCTGGGAAGATGCCAGTGGCGGTGATGGCGGAAAGTGCCTTCAGTTTCAAAAAGTTGCTGGATCAGTGCGAGAACCAGGAGCTCGAGGTAGCCCTTTGCGTTCCCTGGGAGAAACTGCGGAGTAGTCTTAGGCCCCGGGGCGGCACTAGTTTCCAGGGTAACGGGGTCTGAGGCTCGCGGGCTTTGGGAGCTCGCGGGGCGGGCGCGGGAGGTGGACGTGTGGAGCCCTGACCGTCGCGGCCTGCTGCCACCGGGCCCGGTCTCCCCTAAGTCACCGGGACCTTTTTGTTATATGTCTTCAGCTTGTGATCCCGAAAACCCTGTGCATCTTTGCTCCAGCACCTACCGATAAGCTCATATTAATTAGACATCTTTCATTCCTAGTCTCGGGTTGGGAAAGAGTAGTAATGTGGATTTTATTAAAGATCTTGGTATACACACACACCAACACACACACCCCAAAGCACACACACACACCAAGAAGTGACCATTGTAACCTTTTCTTAACTCACAGAGCCTTTCTCGTAATGTTGTCAAGTAAACTTGCCATTTTGTCTTTAGTAAGACAAATGAAAGTTATGCAGCTGTTAAAGTTAACGTTTTTCTTAGACACTTAAAAAGCGTTTATATCATTAGTTTTAAAATCAATTAAGGAGACAACATCTAGAAGAAGCAGCTCACTAATAGACAATAGATACTTCCCAATTGAGTTAAAATTGAAAGAATTGTCTTTGCAACGCAGGTGTGGTGATTTTCTGTCTCTTATTCAGGACGCTTGATGTAATGGGCAGAATCAGAATGCTTCAGGAATCTGTCGAAATTGTTTCTTATACTAGTAAGATCATTTAAATGGGAATTTGAGAACTGGGGAATGGGATCCTCTTACATATTCTTGAATGTATAGAGAAACTGAGGCCCAAAGGGAGATAAATCAAAGCTGATGACGAATATAAACTTAATACTTAGGATTTTCGTGTTTAATACTTCTCTAAGCTGTTTCTAAATCTATACTAGGACTATAAGATTATTTATAATGTTAGACTAAAAAGGCTTACTTTTTAATTAGTATTTATAAAATATTATTTCAAAAATGAAAGTTAAAGGGTAAATGAGGTTTTTTAAATTTTGTGTTGTTTTGTTTTGTTTTCATTGGCCTTCTAGGCCCCTGGAGGAATTGCTACACCCCCAGTGTATGGTCAGCTTCTAGCTTTATATTTGCTCCATAATGACATGTAAGTACATTTAACCTAAAGCCAAGAGCAGCAGGTTTCTCAAAAGTTATATGGAAATATTTCTGCCCTGAAGTAGCACCACCAAACATAGGCACAACGAGCTACCTCTTTTATTATAATAACTATTACATCTATTTCCTATTATAGCTTAATGAATTATGATTAGGTCGTCATTGTCTTATATATACTTTCTAGAAAACATTTCAATTTATTATGAGAAACTATGTCAGTAAATTCATTTAATCTTTGTCTTTTTAAATTACTTTTATGATCTTAATTTACTTCATATTAATAAAACAAAAGAAGTGGAAAGAGAAGATTGCAGCCAAGAGATTCATTACAAACATGTATGAGATTTCTTGAAAGTTTTTTTAAATTTTTAATTATTCCTATTTCACGTTCACATGGAAAAGTCAGAAAGCATAGCTATGCTAGGCCAGACGTGGTGGCACACACCTGTAATCCCAGCACTCTGGGAGGCCGAGGCAAGTGGATAGCTTGAGTCCAGGAGTTTGAGACCAGCCTGGGGATTATAGTGAAACCCTATCTGTTCTAAACATACAAAAAATTAGCTGGATGTGGTTGCGCATGCCTCTAATCCCAGTTACCCGGGAGGCTGAGGTGGGGAGAATTACCTGAGCCCAGAAAGTCGAGGCTGCAGTCAGCTGATATTGCGCCACTACACTGCAGCCTGGGCAACCAAAGTGAGACCCTGTCTCAAAAAGAAAGCATAACTGTGCAAAAAAAAAAAATCTCCTGTAGTTCTCCTGTAGACTCACTGATCATTCCTGATAAAATTTTATTTTAAATTGTTCCAAAACCTTTCTTTTATATCTTTTTAAAAACTAAATTGAAATTTTTGTTACACATGTAAGTTTTTTTTGTTTGTTTTTTGTTTTGTTTTTTTTTGGTAAAACTATCATTATATGTTTGTCATAGTTCAAGCCTCCAAACCCATACAAACTCCTGCCTCAGAAGCTTTGTACCCACTGATAGGAGGGACTGTGACAGGGAGAGAAGTGTTGTGTACCGTGCTTATTGTCAGGAATGCTGGAGCCTTCGTAGTACATAAATTTGTTTACTTTTATATCCAGATAAATCATTTGGGCCGTTCTATACGTCCTCGTATTTTTAGTGTGCTGTTGCCTTAATTTAGGATATGGATTATTATTTTTAAAAAGTTCACTAGAAATGGCAGAATATTACTTTGGTAAAAATATTTCATGTCCTTTTTATCTGGAAAACTACTGTTGTTTCCCCAAAACAAATTCATATAACACTAAATTTTACTTTGTGTTATGTAAAGTATACTTCTGAATGTTTGCCTTGGGACCTGGTAGTTTTTAACATTTACGGAGATGATTATGTTTTTAATTGATTATTCTTCTTTGTGGTGGCGTAAATTAGGAATAATGCAAGATATCTTTGGAAAAGAATACCACCTGCTATAAAATCTGTAAGTATCCTTTAAACCTGCCTTACTGCTTTAATGTAATGACATTCCCTTAAATGGCAACCTTTTATAAGTTTCTGTTTTCTCTCTGACATCCTAGAAATAGTCATCAAACTAGTATTAAGGATTCAAAATAAATCTTCAGAGTCCTCTAGTCAGAAATTTGAATTTTGCTGGGATGATGTAGAATTTGTGCCCAGTTCCTACTGATTAGATTTCTTGAGACACTTCTATGTGCAGCTTCCCTAGTTAAACAGCTGAGCCAGTTTAGATGAAGGAAGGTCCTGGAGGTGGCGGAAGCAGCCGAGGTGATTTTCAACCGGTTTATTTGCTTCCTGTAATGGTACTAATTTGGAAACTGCCATTGTTTACAAGAATATTCGAAGAATGATTCACAGCAGTAAGATTATTTTTGCTAATTAGGATTTTAAATTTCTTATTTTGGATGGGAGATTAGAAGAAATAGCCTGTGAAAAGGTTCTTCCAAAGTGGAATGAAGTAAAATTTTAATGTCAGATGATTCCATGTGTCTAACATGAGTGTAAAGTGAAATTTTTAACATTCTCAGGATATTACCAAGAATTCATCTCAACTTTTGTTCATTGTCGATATTCATCAAGAGATCAGATTAGTATTTTTACTTTTTTTTTTTCCCTCACACATCCTGTTAAGTAAGATTGGAATATTCCTCAACTTCTTTGGCTAAATAAAGAACAACTATAAATTATGCACATAAGTTTCAATGATATTAGTGGGAAGGTCTATCCTTAGAGAGGCTACGATGTATGACATCTTAGATTGACAGTCTCTATTGTTAACCATTTTGCTGTTACTTTTGACCTAAATATATATACATAATATATCTATGAAATACAAAGACAGCATCTTTAAAAACAATGCTTAAGCTAATTAGTCCCCAGGCTTAATTCTGAAATGGTTTTGGACTACTTTCTCATGCCTTAATTTGCTGTTGTAATTACAAATGTGTATCAGGCCTACAGATAAATTTTACCTTAAGCTCATAGTGTTTAAAAACCCTTTTGATAGTGATTGGGCTGAAAAAGTAATTGCATCTTTTAAAATAAATGTTGAATTAGGTTTTAATGATGTAACGAACAAGGTTTTTTTAATCATTTCTGGTATTTTGTTTTAAGATACAATCATTGGTACATTTACAGAGTGAATACCCTCTAAGGCAATAATATTTATTGCAGGCAAATTCTGAACTTGGGGGAATTTGGTCAGTAGGACAAAGAATCTGGCAGAGAGATTTCCCTGGGATCTATACAACCATCAACGCTCACCAGTGGTCTGAGACGGTCCAGCCAATTATGGAAGCACTTAGAGGTAGTGTTTCTTTGTGATTAAAAATGAAATTAGATGAGACTTGGTCCCTAAGTGCTGCAGTGTTGAAGTAATAAATCAGTGGTGTGTGTTTAAGTAGATATTTTTGATAGGTGAAAAGAGCAGTTTTCAAAGTTTTTTAGATTTGCCCTAATCATGCTTCTTCATTTTTTGTTGCTTGAGATTACATTGGCTCCTGTGCCTTTGTTGTTTCTTAATTCTAGATAGAAATTGCTCGTCAGTTTTTTGTTTTTTTTTTGTTTTTTTTTTTTTTTTGCTATTAAAATGAGATCTTGTAATATTCTAACAAGTTTAAGGTATGGGTTTGTAGAGATGTGAAAATAGAGACTGCTCTTGGAATTTTGTCAGCCTCAGCCTTTGATAGGTGTTGTCTTAAGCTTCTGGATTTTGTAACTAATCAGTTTAATACATAGATGGTCAAATGCATTTTTAATTGCTTTGAAAGATTACAAGCCTGGTGTGACAGAGCACTGATCCCACAATAAAATCTCGTTCCCTGCCTCTCTACGTTCTCCCAACCTTAACATTTGCCTCCAGTTGTCCTAGTTCACTCTTTATAAAATTGTATAATCTTGTTTTATGTTGTCGTGTAC